CATGCAAGATGGCGGTCCATCGCCCTACGTCACCATCTGTACCATCTCTGCTCCGCCTCGACTCCAAGACGCCATCTGTGTAGTCATCCATCGCGCATCTTGGCAGCGATACGATTCCATTGGTGCTCGCGTGCAAGGCAGATGCTTCTATCTATTGCTCAATGCTATGTTGCTCTACCGCGCTACAACTAACGACTCACCTGGCTACTTCGATGAAGGCATGAAGCCGATGTGACCCGACTATTCTGAAATTTGGCTCAGTCATCGTGCACGTGTCTTGTGTTGTCCGACATGAAGCCGAATAGGGAGGACACGGTAGTTGAGCCGATTGCTGGTGCAGGTCTTCCGCTTGGCCAAGGGGTCTCTCGCGTCGCTCAACGCGCAATCCTGTGGATACTCCTAAGCTGGTGCCCAGCCGCACCATGGCCTCTTCAAGTGCTTTCGGTGTTTGTATGCTGAGTTTGCGCTGTGTTTCAAGCCCTCAGATGAGATGTGAAGGGCCGTCGGATGAAGCCAGAGTCTGGTGTGAGGAGCGTCGCAGATGTCTTTAGAGTCTCTCGCGTGGCTCGTGGATGGATGTTGTGATGCACGAGGATGTGGCGGTGCTGTCGAGCTTGGAGTTTCAGGGCTCTGCGCGTGTCATTAAAAATCTTGAATTGCCTCGAATTAAGTTTGAGCCAAAAAGGAAGCATGCCTTTCAGACCGCGCCAAGCCAAGACACGTGACCTGTGATCATCCGATCGGGGTCAGCTTCTCGTACGACAAGATATTCAAATTGTAATTTACCTCGTCCACCACCCGATTTGAACTTTGACTCAGACTAGATTTTTTTGGGAGCCAACTCGTGTACATGTTCGTAAGCTGAGGGTGGATTTCCTGCACTCACGACTCCTCTTCACCACGACCGAGAATAAAAGCCTTGGCGCTCTCGCGCTTGCGTCGATCCCGTACCTGGCTGCTACTTACAGTCTCTGTGGCAACACGATGAAGATCAAGGCGCTGACACGGTCGCTGGATGCGCACGCTCCCGCGCGCAAAGGGGATGCTGCGCCCACCTCTCACAACCTGGACGACTCTCAACATCCCTTCGATCGACCTCGAGAGTATACGCGCGCTCTAAACGCATCCAAGTTGGAACGGATGCATGCTAAGCCTTTCGTTGGCGCTTGTGAGGGACACTCTGATGGCGTGTACAGCTTGGCTCTGGACAGCAAGAGGCTGGCTTTTGCTGCGACAGGCGCTGGAGATGGGGAGATTCGATTGTGGGACTTGAGTAGCAAGACGACAATCAAGAGCTACTATGGGGCTCATAGGGGCATCATCAGCAGTCTCGTGATTAGTCCAATCTCCTTTCCATCCGGTTTGAGCTTTGCAAGCGAAGGGTCGACGAGAAATTCTAGATTGAGTGGGAGGAGGCTACTGAGCGCGGGAACCGACAGGGTTGTGAGAATGTGGGATGCGGATCCCGAAGCGAGCAGGTTTGGGGGCGGCGATGAAGCGCAGAGAGGCGATGCCGACGAAGATGAAGAGTTGGAGCTGACTGGCGCAGGCAGTATTCGCGGGCCGAATTGGACACAGAAGGTGGAGCAGGTGAGTCAAAGTGTGGCGGTGGGGGCGCTCTAGGCAAGGGTTGGGCGTCCTTGCATGCTTGAGAGACATGCGCGGCGCGCCACGCACTCTTTGCTGACACAGATAATGTTTCATCTGGCTCATGCGCGGCGCGGGACCACTTCAGGCCCTTTCCTCTTGGACCTCGCCCACGGCGCTCAACTCCCTCTCGCATCACGCCAGAGATCCTCGCTTCGTCAGCGCATCTTCAGCCATCCAGTTGTGGGACATTACGCGCGGCAATGACTCTGCAGAAAGAGAAAGCGGAGCGCTGAGGACAATGGAGTGGGGAGCTGAGAGCATCAACTGCGTTAGATTCAACATGGCAGAAACAGAGGTGTTGGCTAGCGCAGGGAGCGACAGAGGCATTGTGCTTTACGACCTCAGAAGTGCTAGCCCTTTGACCAAGATGATCATGAGTGTGAGTGGCAGTAAATCTGCGAAGGCGTATGCGCTCGGCCAAGCGTGACTTGATCAAGCTCATGGCAGCTGGCATCTCCGTTTTGACCTTCATCTCGATAGATGAGAGCAAATGACATCGCTTGGTCGCCCGTGGAACCGACTACCTTTGCCGTAGCTAGCGAAGATCACAACGTCTACACTTTCGAGTGAGTCGACACGTGATAGATTCTCATCACTCCGAGTAGACGAGCTGACGCGCGAGGATACGCATCCTCACTATTTACCTCATAAAGCATGCGCAATTTGAAGTCGGCCACTCAAATTTACAAATCTCACGTCGCCGCGGTGATGTCAGTGTCTTACTCTCCGACAGGTCAAGAGCTACTCTCTGGTTCTTATGATCGGACACTACGCCTCTGGAACGTGGGAAGCGGATCGCGTTCGCGTGACACCTACCACGCCTCTCGAATGCAGAGGATATTCTGCTCCTCCTACACTTACGACAATCGGTTTGTGCTCTCTGGGTCAGACGACGGTAATCTGCGGGTCTGGAAGACCCGAGCAAGCGAGAAGCTGGGCATCAAGAGCGGCAAAGAGTTGGCCGCTATGGAGTATAGAGACAAGTTGAGAGAAAAGTGGAACAAGGTTGGAGAGGTGGGCAAGATCGATGCGCAGAGGAGACTGCCAAAGGCCATTACGAGCGCGAGGAAGCTCAAGGGTACCATGCTCGAAGCAGAGAGAGTCAAGGAAGAGAGGAGAAGGAAGCACACCAAGGTGAGTCGCAACTCGCAGCTCTTGCAGCGAGGCGCTAGCGCTGTGAAAAGCGAGCCGGATCGGGATTGATCTGCAGATGCTGACATCGCTTTCTGCTTGACAGTCGGGTCAACACAAGCCAAAGGCGGCACGAATGGCGGCCATTCTGGCTCACAAAGAATAAGACGGTCTGTCGCACATGGTGGAGCTTCCAGCCACGTCAAGCACCTGCAAAGCTTTGTACAGTATGAGACAATTCCTCAATCCCGCATCATTACAGCACACACTGTAGGACTGATTTGTGTTCCCCCAATGTTAAGAGTGCGCCAGCTCATTGCCGCAGACGCGCATTTGTGTTGTGATCGAGCTCAGCTTTGGCTGCGCGCTGCTCGCTGCTCGCAGCCCCCCCGGGTCTGCATCTTAAGCAGCCGATGCATCAAGCGCCCAAGCTCTTGCTCTTCAGAAAGTCGACTACAGTGGTGATCAGCTCCTTGGGGTTTTCCTCAGGGACCCAGTGCATAGAATCCGAAATGGGCTTGTAAGTCACGTCGTTGGACAATTCCTCTGCCATAGATTGAATGTGCTAACGCCCGTGCGGTCAAGAGGCGATCTGTCAATGTTATCTCTTCTCGGACGACGAGCTACTTCGTCTCAGCTTTGCTCACCTTCGTGAAGACGCTGTGCTCTCCGCCGGTGGCAAGAAACGGTAAATTGGCTTTTCCAAGGGATGCGATGTTCTCCTTGATATCCTGGTCGTCTTTTTGGAACGCTCGATATACTTCAAACCCTGCCTGCATCCTTCCTGCGCGAGCAAACGCGTGCGTGTAGTGCTCTCTGTCGGAAGAAGTCAGAAAGTAGGGCTTGTGTGCCTGTCGCGCGCGGGGAGTACAGGCAGGAGTTGCATTCAGCGCAGTCTTCGAGATCCTCTTGGGCTGTCAGGCTAAACTCACCAATCGATCGTAGAAGTGTTGAATGTACAATCCCTCCTTGCCAGCCGTGAGGAGCTCTGGCAAGTCTTTGGAGTTGTGAAAGAAGAAATGAAAAGTATATTGAAAGGTGAATTCGGGATCTTTGATAGACAATTGATAGGCATTGGTGCCCGGTTGGGGGCACTCCATCATCACGAGGGCTTTGATGTTGCTCCTGTGCTTCAAGGTGAGTGCCGTTGCCACCATGCTCCCAATATCGTGGCCCAGAACGATGTATTCTTTGCGCGCCAAAACATCGACCATGAGACTGTTCAAATCATCCCCCATGGTCATTTTATCATACCCAGAAGCTGTCATGCTGCTGCCACCGGCGCCTCTGTAATCTGCCGCTACCGCGTAGTAGCCAGCCTGGGCGAATCCAGACAGCAAATATCGCATAGAGTAGGATGTCTGAGGATATCCGTGCACTAGCAAGATTGCTTGGCGAGCTTGAGGAGAGCCAGCGGTGCTATATGCGATGGACAAGTTGGCACCTACATTGCACTTTCTTGTCTCGGAAAGCAGCAGGTCTCCGCAAGCCTTGGCTTGAGAGGAGGTGTCGTGACTCATGCTGGCGAAGCGTACCTGCTGTCGGAAGTGACCGGCAGTTGTGAAGAAGGATTGATGGGCGCAGATGGCGGGTGCCAGCGTACTGCGCGCGATGCAAGTCACGAATGATGAGAAAGACTTCTATCAAAGCATGTTCTCGGCGGATAGAAACATTCATACTCGTCATTAACTCACTTCAAGTTCGTGGATTGTTGCGAAACAGTCAGAGTGGTTGGTCAAGTGGTGAGTGTGAATCAATCAAGAATCATTGAATGAATCACGATGACATGTGCCAAAGTAAAGTCTTTTGAGTGAAGAGGTACTCGTGACTTGAATGTGGAGGTGGAATTAACCTCACTCACCACTCTGACTGGCCCCACATCCCGCATACATGCATCAGCATCTGTGCTCATCAAATTCAAATTCAGAATACAAAATTCCCACGCGCTTAGACAAAACACGTGATCGAAGCACCCTGCCCCATCGTGCGCCGCGCTCTGCGGCAAGGAGCACCGGCCGCGGTGCGCGCGCGTAAGCGACTGCCGCGACGCCGTTGCTGAGCAACGGCACACTCCGATGATGACTGCATGGTAGCCCTGATGTGAGTCATGATGAGTGAGTGGCTTGTCTGCGTGCTGATAGCGCGCTCGGGACGCTATCTTGTGAGACTGCCTCATCCCCTGGTTCCATCTCTATAATGACCATCCAGTGCTGAAGCAGCTGTCCAGACCAGACCCTGATCATTTTCCTGGTGCCTCTTGACTGCAGACAATCACACGCTCGGGTCATTACACACCCCACACAAACCAAATCTTGGGGGCCAAACGCGCATCCGCAGCAGCGCCCGGACGATTGTTAGCCTTTTCCCGGCCCGTTCCTCCTACTAATCGACCAAATTACGGGCGCACAGGGGTGTGGTGGTGATAGGTTTCATCCTTCACCATACCTCGACTGCCACCGCAGCTCGCCAAGATCCCACCCTTCACTCCACAAGACTCCGCGCCGCCCACCAACAGCCCCATCGTCGTTCAAGCCTCTGCTCCACCAGCAGCAACCACGTCAACGCCCACGAGCGCAATTGCTCTTACCAGCGAAAGTCTTGATACCGGCAATCTGGAGCGGCGGCGAAGGACCAGAACTAGATCAGAAGTCGATTCGGACAGCGAAGCCGAGGCGAGACAAGCGTCTCGACGTGTTCGACGCGCGGTAGTGACCACGCGCTCAACAAGTGGCGAAGCCGAGCCAAGACGTAGGACGAGCCTGGCTTCAATCGATTTCGCTGCTTCTGCTTCTGCTCAAAGTG